TGAACCACAGCTGGTGATAACCACAATGTCTAGGACCCATGTGTGACACATGCTGACAGTTAGCATGGTAGCCTTTTAATACATTAACTAGTCCCAAAGTAACCTGAGAGAAGCCCCAGGAAGCAAAGATGAGCTACAGCTTCCCAGGCCAACTGACAGGGCAGGGGGCCACAGATACCGTTATCAGGTCCCAGGCCCTGGATTTGCCTCACATCCATGCCAGGAGCTCACGAAATGGCTTTTTTTCACCCCATCCTCTCTATGGCTCTGAATGAAGCCAGAGGCTGGAGGATGTTGTGGGGATTGGACTAGAAAAACAGAAGTTACGGGGTGCTGGGGTCACCTGCATCCAGGTGAAGCTTCGGTGGTTAACTGAGGGCTGCTGCCTGTGGGTTGCAAGTGCTGACCCACCACAAAGCATGGTAGCTGGATTAGCCATCTCCCCATGTGTGCCTCGGGGAAGCTTGGGTTGGCCTTAATCCTAGCCTTGTTAACTGAGAAACAGCAAGGGGTCAGGATGGAATGTTTTACATCCTTCTTCCTGTTCTGTCTCTTCATCATCTACAATGAGTGAGTATTATTATCATCATCAAGAGAAAGGGTTTTCTGTGAGTTCAGGATTCTTTTTCAGAAGACATGAAATGCCCAGAGGAGTGAAACCATTTGCCCAAGGCCACATAGCTGGAAAAATGGCCTTAACTCTAGCACCTGATCCTATTTGAACTGGAGGCCCTCATTTTCTTGTAGAGTGAACCGTGTCTCCCTCCCTCTCACTAGTACCAAGCCCTGAAGGTGCACCCACTCTAACTTGACATTGGCTCCAGCTCCTCAGAGGACTAAGAGGCACGGGTCCCTGAAGATCTTGGGAAAGCAGCCAGTGGAAAGAGGTGCAGGCAACACCAACCCCATGCCAGCTCCACCAACTCACTGCTTATTCATTAATAAAAGAATGCCCAGGCTATTTGGGGCACCTGTAATTTTCTACTTGAATAACCAGGGAAGTGGCTGTCTGCCCGTTCCTCTGCCCTGCTCATGGCGCCAGAATGGAGGAAACATGATCTCGCTTGATGTAACAGAATCTGAGCAGAGCTTCACGGATGATTTTCCTGCCTTTGCCCCATTCTAGAGGACCCATTGTCCCCATACCTCACCCAAAAGAGCTTTGAGTGATAGAGAAGCACCCAAGTTTGGATGCTGAAGAAGAGGTGGCTTCTTCCAGGCACAGGAAGCAAATGCAGCTTGGCCATTTGCCAACTGTGAGCCTTTGGGCAGATGACAGTCTCTAGCCACAGGCTCTCCTTTTGGAAAACCAGAACAATCACTCCCCGGGCAGGTCCGGAAGCTAAGGGGTACCTGGTGCTTAGGGTCACTAACCTGTTACTGCTGCTGCTCATTTCAAGGATAAGAAAGGGGTCGTTCTGGAATGTTTAGGGCTAGTAGAGGTCATGTGACCCAGATAAGCCCCTGTAGCTGGTAAATGAGGCAGAAAACAAATGCGGAGCTGGAGCCAGGAAGGTGACTCACTTGCTAAGTGCCTACTCTGTATCATTTAAGTCCTCAGACCCATGTTTCAACCAAGATCTTGGCCTGGAGGTACATATTTGTAATCCTTGGGGCTCATTAGCCAGCCAGCTTGGCCTACTGGGTAAGCTCCAGGTCAATGAGAGGCTATGTCTCAAAAAATAATAAAAAAATAGATGGTGCCTGTGGAATAACATCTGAAATTGTCCTCTGACCTTCACATGTACCCCCCACACATACATGACATTAGTTAAACATACACAAAAGGAGGTTGTCTGAAGAATCTATACGGGCCCACATGACCCACAAAGTCTTGCCTAGGGCACAGGTGAGCCAGCTGAGATTCACCAGAGATAAGCAGTTAGGAGGGTGAGGTGACCTGCAATACTGAAGGTCAGGCAGTGGAGACAGACATGAGGACATTGCTCACAGGCACCCAGCTAAGCCACCAGAAAGGAACAAGGGCATGCTGCAGGGAGAGGCCTCTCCTGTCCTCTAAAGAAGCTGACACCAAATCCCTCAGGATCCTCAGAAGAGAAAGTTTGCTGAGGAGCCAGCCAAGTCTGAAGAACTTGAGAAATAGCCAGTGCTTTGCAGAAATCCTCCCCAAACAAAGAGCAAAACCAGCTATATTCCCTATTAGATAAATGGGAAAACAGCCCATGGAAGTACTAAGGAATTACCTAGAAATTTTACTGCCTGTTAAGACAATACTTAACATTTTTCTCAGGAAGAAAACAGAATCCAGAATCTAAACCATGTCCAATATACAGTCAACCTTTTCTAGACACACAGAGAGGCAGGATGAGATGACCCTTCATCCCAAAACAAAAGCTGTTAGACAATGGTGTTAAAATGACCTTGAGGCCAGAGTCTGCATATGAAGATCCTAAAGATATGGCCCAGGGACTGGCTCAGCCATTGAAGACTAGGCTCACAACAAAAAAGACAAGACGTAGCCCAGTGTTTGACACATCATAGATTCCCAATAAATGTCAGCTGCTCATTTCCACATAAGCAAAATACTTGTCTGCTCCTCTGACCACTTTGAAATGCTTCACATACTGAGTTCCTGCTGACTGCACAAGGCCTGTGGGAGCCATCATGTGCCATGATGAGAGAGAAGCCAGTCTCGCAGTATGAGTCCCTCAGTCATGCCTTGCTTTCCTCATTTATGAAGTAGGGGTGCAGGCAGATCACCTCAAAGGGTGCTTTCTCTTGAGGAGTCCGAGTGTGTTGGCACATCCTAAGATGAGCTCTGAGCTAGGACCAGAAAGAAGCAGTTTGAGAAGGGATTGCATCTGCTGCCAACACCTTGTGGGGAACCCATAACGGGATGTTCTTCTCCGAGTGTAACAATACTGGGTTATGGGCAAAGCCTGGGCTCATTTTCCAAAGGAAACTTTCTGAGGAAATGTCTCCTAGCAACCAGTTCCTTCAATGAAGCTACTTTCAGGACCCTTACAGAGCACAAAAGCCCTTCTTCCAAAGCCCTCCTGGCAACCACTCATCAACTGAGGTGCTGGTGAGACTAGAGCGCTAGTGCAAACGCTCCTGGTACAGCGCTAGTGCAAGCGCTCCTGGAACAGCGCTAGTGCACGCTCACCTGGTACAGCGCTAATGCAAGCTCACCTGGAACAGCGCTAGTGCACGCTCACCTGGTACAGCGCTAGTGCAAGCGCTCCTGGAACAGCGCTAGTGCACGCTCACCTGGTACAGCGCTAGTGCGAGCGCTCCTGGTACGGCGCTAGTGCGAGCGCTCCTGGTACGGCGCTAGTGCAAGCGCATGGGGTAGGTTGCAAACACTGGGAGGACCTCCACCCACACCTGCCGCCTCTTTTCCTTCCATGAAGTAAGAAGCAGTCTAGCCTCGGGCTGGTGACATGGCTTCGGATCTGAACCCAAAACCCAGCTCTTACTAGCTGGGTGGCTTTGGGCAAGTGACCTCGACCTCTCTGGGTCGCAGACTGAGCAGTCTCCCAGCGCCAGTCTTGTTCTTGTGAACAATGCTGGCCGGCGACCATCCTTGACCACGTGTCTCTGTACATAGCTCGATTCTTTAAACCAAGCTCTTAGAAATAGAAGAGCACAAGTATTGGGATGCTGACTCCTGGGACTTTCCCCGCATTTCCAGCAGGGTGGCCACACGTTCCATATTCCCTCCTGGAGCAGAGCAGAATGTCCACTCCCTACACCCTCTCCAACACTGGGGGTCGTTATGTTTTCATATTTGCCAGTCTGATAGGAGGAAGATAATGTTCTGCTGTTGCTAGAGTGTGTATTTTCCTTCGGTTTCTGAGGAGGCCAAGTATCTCTTCTTACACTTGTGGGATGTTTTAGGTTTTGTCTGCTGAGAACTGCCCTTGTCCTGCAATGGCAAGGCCCTCTGGGTATCTCCTCCCTTCCCTCCTCCCCTTCCCGAGCTATGGGCTCAGTAGCTCTCTGGGGTGTTGTTTCATAACCTTGCAAAGCTCTGTTTCCTGCTGGATAGGTGCCCAGGCAGGGAGTTTTCAGCTCAGCCCTGAAGCCCTCCTGAGCTAGGATTAGTGGGGATTCAGTTGCTTGGCCTCCAAGCACCTCTCACCAAGCACCTCACCCCATCGACATGCCTACCCCATAGGGATGGCAGAAACCAGACCTGTTTAAAGAAGAAAAACAATCCAAATTCCAAATCTACCCAACAAACACATTCCAGAAGTGATGATTAGCATGACTGGAGGAATCTTTTCATAACTTACCAGAACATTGCTTTTAAGTCCAGTACTCCTAAGAGGTTTAAAATAAGCCTATACTCACAGTTGGAAGCCCTCCAGCCATTGGCCCAGGAATTCCACTGGGTAACAGTCTCCCTCTGGGTGGGTACAATTGCCCATATACAGTAAGACACATGTCAGATTCATGACTGAAAAATAAGCAAAAGGCCAGCCTCTCCTTCCCACAGAGTCAGATGTGGGGAGGGGGACTCTGAACCTAGCCTCATCTGAGGCAGTAAGAGCCTGCCAGGGTGGACTTGGGACTCTGGAAGTCTGTCTGCACAGGTGCAGCTTTAGTTCTAAGTAATATATAACCTTACCTATCAGTGAATGAACGGATCCGACTCCAGCCTCATGCTAAGGCAGCTGGCAGATCGCTGGACACAAGTTTAGTACAGGAGTCTGAATCAAATGTGTTCCCTTAAACTGGGATCCCTCAGCCAAATAGTTGCTTCTGGTAGGTTTCCAAAGTCATTAAAGGAATTGCTGAGATCCACAAAGTATTGGCCAGACGTGTGCGTGGGGAGAGGTAGAAAACCTTGAAAGAACAAAAGTGAGTGACTTTTCTTGCCTTTCCACAGTTAACACTGTGCTGCAAGAGACTAACACAGCCTGGCAGCTCCATCGCAGCTCAAGAAGGGAAGTAGGGGGAGGGGTGGATATGGGAAAGAAGGAGGTGGAAGAGGAGGAGGAGAAGGAAGGAGAGGAGGAAGAGAAGAAGGAAGGCAACATATCTGAAGGAAAAAGTGAACACAGTCCAGAGAAGGGTAAAGTGAGTCTCTCTACACCACCCAGAGAAGAGATTAAAATACTACTATTTGCATCCTGCCTGGAGTCACAGTTGAACCAGAAGGAAGGAAGGGAGGAAGGGAGGGAGAGAGGGAGGGGCCCTGTGACATAAAAGGCAAGCTGCAGACCTGGGCATGATGCACTGTGAGCACCTGGAGGCTAAGTCAGGATTGGGAACGCTAGGCCAGTCTTGGCTATACAATAAGATTCTGTCTTTGTGGAGTAGAAGTTGGGGCTCTTGAGTTAAAAACATTCAATCTTGCTGGGCGTTGGTGGCGCATGACTTTAATCCCAGCACTTGAGAAGCAGAGCCAGGCAGATCTCTGTGAGTTCGAGGCCAGCCTGGTCTACAGAGTGAGATCCAGGACAGACACCAAAACTACACAGAGAAACCCTGTCTCGGAAAAAACAAACAAACAAACAAAAAATTCAACCTTTAAGATTAGCTTAGTGGGAAGAATGTCTCTACTGCAGGGAGGTGTTCCTGCAATCCCAGTGCACAGGAAGCTGAGGCAGGAAGATAGTGAGTTTCAGGCCAACCGGAGAGTCTGTTTCAAGGTGGGACTGGTGAGGTAGCTCAGTGGGTAAAAGTGTCTGCCCCCAAGCCTGGCAACTTGAGTTCAAGGTGGTGGTGTGCATCTGTCCCCTCACCTCCATCATATATACTGTGAGATGGGACAGAGACAGAATTGTGTAGAAGCATGCAGGCCAGATAGCCTGCAGGACACAACATGGCAGAAACAAGAGCAACCCTACTCAAAACAAGGTGATAAACCAGAATCAACAACAGAAAGTTGTCCTCTGACCTCCATGCTCATGGGGACTTAACCAGGACTCTCACTCCCCTTCCTCAAAGGACTGTTATTCAGCTTAGATGAGGCCTTACTAATGCAGATGTATCAGGAGCCTGGTGCCTGCCTGGGGTCACAGATGCTGCTACAGTTATTAAATTATCAATGTGAAGCATGGGAGACCCATTCCTCAGCAAGCTTAGTCTCTGCTCTCTTGATGTTTATAGTCTAATGAAAAATGGCAGTTTAAAAAAGAAAATGCACCCACAGGCATAGTGCTCCCTCCAGGTGTCAAGGAAAAAAACACCCTGAAGTCCTACCCTTCTCTCCAAGTTCAGAACTGAGACCACTTGTGTTTATCTAAGGTGCAATTCTGCTCATGCCTCTGTGATGAATTTTGGTGCTTAACTTTCACAGTGTATAATCATTTGGGAAGAATTTCAGTAAGGGATTTTCTGGATCAGACTGGCCTGTAGGCATGTCTGTGGGGGACTGTCTGGATTACATTACTTGATGTGGGAACACTCAGCCTAAAAGTGGGCAGCACCACTCCCTGGTGAGCTGAGGTGTGAGTACGCATGTGTTTGTTACCTTCTGTTCCTTGATGTGATGTGACCAACTCTCTCTGCAACTTCCCTGCCGTGGATACTACATGTGATGATATATTTGTGTTCCCTAAAATATTGTGTACTCTAATAAAACTTATCTGGGGCCAGAGAACAGAACAACCACTAGATTAGACACAGAGGCCAGTCAGTGGTAGCATATGCCTTTAATCCTATCACTTGGGAGGCAGAGATCCATCAGGATCTCTGTGAGTTCAAGACCATACTGGAAACAGCCAGGCATGGTGACACACACCTTTAATCCCAGGAAGTGATGGCAGAAAGCAGAAAGGTATATAAGGCGTGAGGACCAGGAACTAGAGGCTTTTAAACTTTTAGGCTTTTAGCAGCAGTTCAGTGGGGATCCATTCAGATGAGGACTCAGAGGCTTCCAGTTTGAGGAAACAGGATGGAATGAGAAGTTGGTGAGGTGAGGTTAGCTGTGGCCTGTTCTGCTTCTCTGATCTTTCAGATTTCACCCCAATATCTGGCTCTGAGTTTTCTATTAATAAGACCTTTTAAGATTCATCTTACAACTACAACCTGGAACTGTGAACTGAAACAAACCTTCTTCCCCGAGTTGCTTCTGTCAGAGTATTTTATCACAGTAACAGGAAAAGCAAGCCCCCTCTCCCAGCAATCTAACACTTTATGCTCAAATGTAAAAACAAAGAAAAAACATTTCTCTAGTGAAGATGTCAAAGCACAGCCGGTAAATAGCTTCAATTGCCCTTAGCAATGGTCTGCCTCCCTTAAAGGCCAGCAGCTCCACAGCCAGGTGTCTGCCTGACCAATGTGAGCACTCAGTTACCCACCATAGAAGTTACCCACATTAACAGGTATTTTTAGTACTGTCCAAAAGCCACAAAGCAGTTAGTTACCAAAGAAACTAGAATCCACTCAACAACAAAGGAATGGACCAGAAATGTGACTACATACTCAAACTGTGATAGAAAGAAGCCAACCCATATAGCAAATTATGCAATGTTTTTTTAAAGACAGGAATTCATGTAGCCAAGGCTGGCCTAGAGGATGACTTTAACCACCTGATCCTCCAGCCTCTACCTCCTGAGTGCAGGGATCATTAGCATGCACTAAGCCAAGTTCATGTGGTGCTGGAGATCAAACTCTGCATGCTAGGCAAGCACTTTACCAACTGATGCCCAGCCCCAGCCCCATACATGTCTGTGTGTAATGCTGGAGCCAGAGAATCAAGGCCATAGTACAGAGGGTATAACTGTGCCTCCTAGAGTAGAGAGACAGTGTTGCCCCAAAGAGGCTGCTTTACATCCCAATCCTGGAAGTGATTATAAGTGAGCACACACAAAAGTTCACTGAGCTAGCAATCAAAACTAACTTCTCTGTGGGTGCATGCTGAACCTCAATTTTTAAGTATTTAAAAGCAAATAAAATGTTGAATGTAGTGATATCCGCCTTTAATCTCAGCACTCAGAAACAGAGGCAAAAGGGGCTCTGTGAGTTCAACAAAGAGATTCCAGCCAGCCAGGGCTATGCAGTGAGGCCATGCTTCAAAAGAGACAAGACAAAGAAAGGAAAAACCAAGAGTTCCCTAAGTGTCTCTTGCTGAGGGGCAAGTCTGTGGGGATGCATTTTGGGTACCTGCTATCTTTGACATTGTCATACTGAGACATTAGCCTCTAGGGAAACACAATGTGGCAGAGTGGAAAGGGGAGACTTTGGAGGAAAGGACCATTAAGGTCACCAGCCACCAGCCCCTAGAGATTCTCAGCAATCAGGGCATAGGAAGGAAACAGATGGTGACCTCAAGAGATACATCAGAGATGCAAACATCCTTCTTCAGCCAAGGCAGAGCTGTGGTCAGCAGTGTTTAGATATTCTGCATGCTGGGCAAAAGCACTGTCTCTGACCATCATGCATGGAACTGACACCTGCCAACCTGCCAATGGTTAATGGCTGAGTGAAGGAGAGTTGGCTGCATTAATCGGCACAGTCCTGGTAGAAGGCAATGAGTTACCATGACTGCATCAGCAAAGACACAGGTGGCCATTTCTGAGCCACCTTGCTTTGTCAGTGCCTGTGAGTGTGGAGCCCACTCAGTAAACTGGCACCTCCAACCCTGGCAACCTTGCTCCATGGGGCACAGGTTAGCCTTATTCCTGACAGACCCTCCATTTACAAAGTTTGGCAGGTGTACCAAGGGTGTTTGAAACTCAGACAGCTGCACTGTCTTTGTAAGGCTAGGGCTGTGTATGAGCCCCAGCCTGCTTCCCAGCTCTGTGTGGAGAGACACAGGAGAAGGCTTGGGTGTCCTTCCAACTCTCTGGAGTAGGTCCTTTTTCTATGTCCCAGAATTTCCTTCCACAGATGACGTTACTTGTGCCCTCAATCCTTTTGTGAAGGCAGACAAAAAAGCAGCCTGACCATTCCCCAAACACTGTCCCTTTTCTCTATCCTCCTTGGTGGCAATGCTCAAGATGGGAGGTCCCTGGGGACCCCACCCCGCCTATCCACCCCAGCAATGCCACACAAGGAGCAGATGGGCCTCTCTTGATTTGTCTGTGGAATTACCCAGCATGTAAGCACAGGAGAACATGGGTCTCCAGTAACTTTAAAAACTGTGAAGGTCACAGCCAAGGGGAACCTAGGGAACAACGCAACAGACTATGTAGTATCCTGGAGGGGTCCTGGGACTGAGAAGGGCATTCACTAAAAACTGCACCACTATGAATAAAGTATGAACTTCAGTTAGCAAAAGTATATCAAATCTGTTCATTCTTTTTAAGAAACCTACTATGGCATAGACAGACACTCCTCTACATACATTTGATTATGCTTATTTATTTACTTATTTATTTGTGGGAGGGTATGCATGCCATAGCATGTTTGTAGAGATCAGTTGGCAACCAGTAGGACCATGTGGGTCCCAGGGATTGAATTCAGGTCCTCAAGCCTGGCCTCAAGTGCCATTGCCTGCTGACTCATCTTGCTGTCCTAACATTATGATGTTAAGGACAGGGGACACTTGGTATGGAACACAAGAAACTCTTTGTACTATCTTCTTAACTTTCTTCTAAACCTAAAACTGTTATTTAAGAAAAGAAAGATAAGGAAAGGGAAATGCATTTTTCTGGTTTGGATTGAAGTATGCCCATGCACCTCTGCAAAGGCTCTGCATCGAAAACTTGATCACATGGTAGTAGCATTCAGAGGAATGATTGGGACAGTGATTAGATCATGAGGACTCAGACTTCACGGGTGGATTAATCTAGTGATAGATTCATAATTTGGTGGCATTATTGGAAAGTAGAAGGTGGAAAATGTTGGAGGAAGTGGTTCATTGGTGGTGTAACCTTGGGTGCTATAACTCATCACTGGTCCTTCTATTCTTTCTGCTTACTGATGGCCACAAGGCCACGCTTTGTTATAACATGTACTTCCCCCTGGGATACTCCGCCTTACCAAGCAAGATGGTTCCAAAGGAATGTAGATTGTGCCTCTGAAACTGTGAGCCAAAATCAATCCTCTTCCCTTTAAATTGTTTGCCTTGGGTGCTTTGTCACAGCAGAAGAAAGCTAATATGTATTTTTTTTAAGGAGCGTAAGTACGGCTTGGGGAGATGACTTCAGTTAAGACTACTTGTTGTACTTGCAGGAGGCCAGTTTTCAATTCCCACCAC